TGTCAGATTTCTTAACAAAGAGAGTGAGAGTGGTTTCAGTAGAGCAGGGAGCACAGAAACAAAAAGGAGGAAAACAGAGGAGATGAAGCCTAGAACAAATGGAGTACTGCTTGCACAGAACTACTATTAATCCCTTCCCTTCCGTGCCCTTCCCTTTCTCCCCCTCCTTTCCCCTCTCCCCCCATCCCCTTCCTTCTCTCCTTCCCTCCCTTCCTCTCTCTCTTCCTTTCTTCTGTGAAAGTGATTGACAAAAAGGTTGGATAGAGACAGAGAGGCAGCACTCTTGTCATTTGACTGTTCTGGGCTTGAGGCATTTCTCTAGAGGGCATCATTACAATAAAGTCTACAACATCAGTGGCACACCCTAAAGTTGGCTGTAGACAGTGGTTGAAGACACAGGAGAAACAGGGAAAGTCTATAAATTTTAGGTTCCTGAGAAAGAAGAAGGGGCTAGAATTCAGAATGTGGGGGCTGGGACATTGGAGAAGTAGAACTATAAGGAGTCCCTCTTCCCTTGTAACTGAAAAGAGTGGGAAAAGTACAAGTGCAGATTCAAGTTCATTTGCAGGTTTGAAGGTAGGAACCTCTAGGGGGCATGATCTTGCTGGACTTTCTTTTCTGTATGGGTTTCCACTGTTAGGAGGGTCAAGGAACGAGGAAGTTAAATAGATCTATAGGAAGGAGTAAGATGAAAAAAGGAAGTTAAATATAGGAAGGGGAATATGTTAATTCACTAATTAGGATTCTTTTGATTGCAAAAGTATATTCAGAGTAGCTTAAACAAAAAGGAAAGTTTATTATAGTGATATATTTGTGCAGTTAGATTTTAGATGATTTTATTTTATTTTTTTATTTTTTATTTTTTACTATGTACATTAATGCACTTCTGGGGTACAGTGTGGGGTTTTCACATGCAATCTGAAATACTTCCATCAAACTGGTCAACACAGCCTTCATGTCATTTTCTCAGTTATTGCTTTAAAACGTTCACATTCTACTCTTACAAAGATTCACCTGTACCCCTATAAGATAAACCTCAGAAGCGATCCCTCCAAACCCCCTCCCTCCACCCATTCCCCCGTCCCTTCTCCCTCCCCCCTCCCAGATTTCAGATGATTTTAAATGCAAGACTAAAGATGTAGGATTCTTGTTGGTAGAAGCGATTCATTTCGGTCTTTAAATAGAAGTGTGAAGACAATAAAACCTTTCTTCTAGAAAGCTAAATCTGACCAATGATAAATAGAATGAAATAATTGAGCCTAAGAAATTGAAGAGCTATCTATACTGGTCCTGTATATAGTTGGACCTTGAACTACATTAATATAGTTCAAGTTTTATGATTCCTCATCTCTGTGATCACTTATAAAATGTGGTTACCCAAAGACTCTGGTTATCTAAGTAGGATAGTGAAGACTTCCTTCCCTCGTCTTCTCTGTCAGTATAATTTGTCATCCTTGCCTTTGACTGAGACGTGGCCTCTTCCCTATTGTCTACCTTTAACAGATTTTTACCCCACTGTCTTCTCTCTTAATTTACTGGAGCTGTGCACACACTTTCAAACCCAAATGTATGTCTATTTATATGTTATCATGTTTTATTTTATAACTTACTGGAATTGTTTGGTAAAAGCAGAACAGTCTTTTGTATGCAACACTCACTGAGATCAGGGGCGTAGTGAAGGTAAAGTAATCTCCAGATGCACTAGGGTTTAGGGGGTTCTCACAGCTCCCGAGAGGTGAAAGAGTATATTCAAATAATTCTGTTATGTTCTTGAGATTATTAGCTGTGGGGCCTCAGGCATATTAATTAAGCCTCCAATTCTCATTTTCTGTTTTTCTAAAATGGAACCGTCAAGATAAGAAAAAAATGCATGTATGCAAAAACCTTCTGTTCCAGTTTATCTGATCTTCCTTCAACTTCTCACACTGTCACTCAAAAAATAGTTCCTAAACTCTTTTGTTTGTACAGGAAACACACATTCTGTCAGCCTACGTTTCTTCCTCTTTTTACACTCCAACTCGGGTCTCGCAAGTTTTCCCCGTTAGCCTTATCTGTTCTTAAACATATATACAAGTCTCTGTCAATCCTTCTTCTCTTCATTTTTGTTCTTCTATGTTCCTATATTTACATTGTTCATACATTATATTAGTGGCTGGGTCCCAGCTTTAGAAAGAGTTGGGTCTGCTGTGGTGCCTGTGGCTCAAAGGAGTAGGGTGCTGGCCCCATATGCTGGAGATGGCGGGTTCAAACCCAGCCCCAGCCAAAAACTGCAAAAAAAGAGAAAGAATTGGGTCTGTAATGGAGATTCAGAGACATCTGGGTGTGTGCATTGTACTGAGTGGTTGGGATTTGTTTGGCCAGAGGAGCTGAGACATACTTGTGAGCTACAGGAAAAGGGACTAGGGGCCAGCCCAGCCAGAGCTTCTGCTTAAGTGGAATTATGTAGGTTGTCCCCTCTATGGAGATGCCTGGTCTCAAGGGAGACAAGAGGCTGATATCCACCCAGGCTTCCCTTGCCAAGATTTGGAACCCCAAGTGAGGCTTTATCCGTGTGATGGAAAGCCTGCCTTTCTCTAATTCCAACAAAGGCTCTATTAGACTGATAGCAACCCTGTGCTCAGCTATGTGACTGATTCAGAGGGAGGTTCTCTGGTCCAAGCCACGCAGTTGGCAGATATTGAAAAAAGAGGAAAATAGAAATATATCTGTATAAAATACATATAAATAATGTTTTTATATTTCTGACTTATCTGCTCCAACTAGCCTCTAATTTGCCTAAAGTGTTTTTTTCAAATATGATTTGATAATTCTATGTAAGCAGTTGTTTATTTGTTGTTTAGTATTCTAAGTCAAACACTCACAGATAATTATTAAATTATGGAGTACAGATAGAATATGTCGTAAAAGCATTGATAATTAAATTTCAGAAAATATTTAGTGATAGAATTGTGCCCGAGATGTATCGTGCATAGGATAAACAGACTACAAAAGAGTTGAGTGTTAGGAAGCTCTCTGGTTTTCCAGTCCCTTCAGAAATCAGATGCTGTCCCACTGACTGGAGCCCTTCCCCTGTGCCATTGCCCGCTGCCTGGTGCCCTGCAGCCTGCCTTCTGCAATTTCACTCACTTGTCTCTGCTTCTTCCTGTTGATTCCTAGGGGATTTACAATCACCATGTATCACTACTTTGCTGGAAAAAAAATCGCAAAATATCCCCCTTGTCCTCATAATACTGTCCACAATAAAACAAAGAGGTGAATTCACAACGAATTTTAATACCCAGGTTTGGGTACAGAGGTCAGATTGATCCACCGAGTTTATTACCGCTTTCAACCAAATACTGCTAAAATGATAGTAAAGAAACATGCAAGGCTTAAATAAGAAGAAAAAAGGAGATTAAATGTGGAGAAAGAAAAGGACAAAATATTTCAAAGTAATTTTGAGAGCTGAAAGGCACACAAAGGCGAAGGTAAATTCCCATACCTCTAAAATGAGGAGAGAAAAGGCAGCCTTTGAAATTTCATCTGACAAAATGTGAAAATGTAATCCACAGTCTGAGGACAAAGAATTTGCAAAACGACTAGTGGTTTAAAAAGTTATTTGCATTCCTGCATTCAACAATATTTATCTTTAAAGAATACATCTCAGTCTGCAGTTTAACTACATCAAAATATAATGTGACACAATAAAACCCTCTCATATTTATAATCGAGAACTTCTAAGAAATATTTTTAGTATTTAGTATTTTACCCAAGAGAGTGAATTCCATTTTTAAAAAAAGTATAGTTCTTTAGGATAAGAATTTGATTAAAACATCCTATTGATAAAAAATTTATTTT